TGGTCCAATATATAAAGCCTTAGATTTTGGCCCAAAATCATATATTAAAAAATTATTGAAATAGATTATGTGTTATAATATATATCGTATTGCTATGAAAACCTAGACTTTGTAGGAGTCAACTATGAAATTGTTTTTTGCGCCCCCAGATGAACAAAAGTCTGGGTCTGCCACTGGCAACAACATATATAAAATTGGACATGATCCAACGGTCCAGAATTTGCGAGGCTTTGAATCGGTCCAACGACAAAATCTCACAATTTCGAGCACACCACCATGCTCAGGACGTCGAGGACATTAACCTAACCTCAGAATATGAAATTACAATTTAAACCATAAAAAAATCTACTATTTGAGCAATTTCGAAATTTGCAAGAGAGGCATCGAAATTTACCTTAGATTGTAGAGCTCGTTCTCACGATCACGTCGGCGAAAACGGTTCAACAATCTGAACTCTAAAACGAAAGAAATGAATTTCCAAATTTTTTTTAACAAAAACTTCAATTTCTTTTTTTGTTCTTCGTTGCATAAACAGAAATGAGAGAGGAAGACGATGAAGACGCGCGGAGCGGAAGAAGAGGAAGAAAAGGAGAAAAGCAACACACGTGTGAACAGTATAGCACAGTAACTTTTTATTTTATTTTTCGTCCTGTCACATGTCACCTCCTCATTGGTCCAACTTCAATAATTCCTTAAAAATTCCTCCGAGTTCCGAAAAAATCTCCCAAAATTACCACATGCTTGTACCAACTTAAACTATTCTTCCATCTAGGAATCATAATTTTCTCACTTCAATTCCTTATACGTCCATTGAAAAGTCATTAAATTAAACGTAAGGGCATTTTAGTACAAATTGAGTTTAAACATTCTTAAATCCATTATTTCCACATCAAACCAACTTCATAAAATGCTCACACATTTTAAATAACCTTTTATAATTTTTCGGAATAGTAATAACAACAAAATCCCAATTTTGAGGTTATTACATAATCAATCAAATCTCATCATTTGATCGTTCAAATAAAGTCTAGGGTTAATCACAATCGATACTTAGTAAATTAAAGGGCCAACATCATTTTACACCCTAAAGGTTTGGATTCATTCTTGAAATGGGCAATGAGGTTTCTGTTAAGCTCATAATTTCATACATACACATGTCCTATTTACTTAGTCATTTTCCTTAGTTTCTTAGAATTATGAGTTATTTACCTCTCTTTGTGTGTTTTGTAGGTCAATAGATCAAGAGAGCATAATTCATGCAATTCAAACATGTTAAGGCTTGATTTGGATCAATGGAAGAAGAGCTTAAAGAAAAACCCAATTTGGGCTACACTCCCTTGTCAGTCCAATTTTGTAGGTCACATTGCATGCCTCATTTTAGCGATCTACACAACTCAAATGAGGAGACATTCTTGAGTAAAGTTGGTCCAATGGGTCTCTATTACAACATATCTAAAATGGAGCCTAATTGAAATTAGATGGAGTCCTTAGCCCATCAAATACTAAACCATGCTCAGGAGGAATTTTGTCTGCGCTGCCAAATGAGTCAGCAATTTGTTTCGGCCTTAACTTCTTCCTCCGACCTTGGATTGGCCCAAATGACATATGGTTAGAAAGATGGCATTCGGAACCTTAAGATGGAAGCCTCAAAGTCATCATTTGCTTAAGGGAAACCCAATCTGTGAGCCCATGAAGTTGCTGGTCATGCGGACAAAAGCATGAGCTAAGTGTTGCTTGGTCATTCTGACCTAAGCATGAGGTGATTTCTGATGGTGGGGAAGTTTGGTGAGCTTATTCAAGTCGGGTTTTGCCGCAACCAAAAGAAATAAAAGAAGATAAAGTTGAACTACAGCACTAAGCCTAAGGAGAAGATAACTTGTTTTCCAATGCAATTGTATGGTAGGTGAAGTGGGTGTGGTTGGTGAACTCAGTATCCCAATTAGAATTCCTACTCCCCTTAACCCTATAAATAGAGAGTCTTCAAGGAGCTGGGAGGATTCATCATTCAATCATATTCCATCACATTATACACAAAGAGAGGGAGAGTTGAGAGTCACAAAGGGAGAGAAGAGAGAAGGCAGCAGCTGGAGACTGGCCTCCTAGCAGCCATGGAGATGAAGCTTTGCCATCTTTGGCATGATGTCCCTATCTTCTTCTCCCTCATTTGCCTTTTATTTTCTTCTTGTATTTCCTTAGCTTTACTTTGTCTTTCTATTTAATAAAGACCTTGTAATTTTCTGTTATTGTTTTGAACATGATGATTTTAGGTTTTTGAAGTTTGATTGGTTTCCAAGTTTCAATTTCGGTTCTTGTTCTTATTCATTATGCTTATCAATTGATATGCTTCTTTGAATGCTTGATCACCATTTGAACTTGTATGTTAGCTATCTTGGTTGGGATTAAGAGTAGACATCATATGCCTTACTTTGAATTGAACTATGAATAGGAAGAGTATGTATGGACATTCGACAACATGATTAGATACATGCTTGGTTGTTTAAAATGTTCTCCTATTCTTAATGGATTTCTAATGCTTGATTTAGGTTCGACAACAAAGGATCTGATTAGGGAATTAGGAATACGAGGCTTAGACCAGACACTATGGCTAAATTATACATTAGAGAGAATTAATCTTTTCACTTGAATTCAACTTGTTAATTTGATTGCTTGAGGCTTAGAATTGGATTGTTCCCTAGTGTTCTAAAACTGTTTTTGAACCCAAAACCAATTTTAGTGTCTTTCTTCTTTGTTTGTAACTTTCTCTTTTCATTTCATGTACTCTTCTCAATCACCTTTAAATCTTGTTTATATTTCTGTTTTGTGCAGGGAATCAAATTGAATCAATCTATCATCAATCCTCGTGGGATTGACCTCGCACTTACACATGCTATACAACCCAATGGCTCGTGCACTTGCGAGTATCACAAGTTGAGGATGCAGCTGAATCAATTTTGGTGCAGCTAAATGCGAACACAACAGTTTCATCTTTGTCAATTTACGCCCTAACGTTTTAACATTCGACCAATTTACACATTCCGTCGGTTTGACCGTTTGATCTTCTGTTAAGTGATGATGTGCCAAATGTGGGGTCCACTTTTTTAGCTTAGGTGCTATCCCTAAATATTAAGACATATTATTTAAAAATTACTTAATTCTCTGTCTCTCCTCCCTTACTTCATGGGAATTTGGCAGCCCTTTCCTCCTCCCCATTAGTTCCTTTTTTTTTTCTCCCTTTCCCTCGGTAGTCCCATCCTCCATACCCACCCTTACATCATCTTGCCTAGCCACCTCTCCCACCAAAAACTTCTCAACACACCCACCATTTTCTCTCTCTCTACACCATTAACCCCAAGCCCAGCCACCCTTTCTCCTATCTCCTCTTCCAATTTTTGTCTTTCCAATCCAACCAACACAAAACAAAAACAAATTCTCAAACCCAACAACAAAACCTAGCAGTAAAAGAAGAAGAAGAAGATGAATGGGCTTTTATGAAACAAAAGCAAAAGAAAAAACCAACACTCGCGCATTAAAATTGACCATGAAATTGAGAGCTCCTCATCATCACATCATTACCATCAGTCAACCCTCTTCTTCACCATGAAATTGAGACCGAGTCACCGTCGATTCCACCTCCCTCATCGCTGATCATCTCAAGTGTTCCAACCCACTAGCCCTTCTTCCATGAATTGTCATTTGGGTCTACCCCAGATCTGTCCCAATCCCCTCTGCCACTGTCAAACGCCACTATTTTGACCCCACAAGCATCACAGCTTACTTCGGAATTGTCATTCTCGACATGCTCCCTAACTTCGCCTTCTTCCTCTACCGCCACTGAATCAGGCACCTGTGTGGGTCTGAGAAACTCGTCAATGGCGAAGGACCCAGTTCCAGAGATATGTAAACAATTGGACTTGAGAATCCCACCCTCGAGCCTCCTCTACTTTGGCACAATCAACCGAACTGTAAAGGAGGTGATTGCGAGAAGGGGCGAGGATGATTTTGAAGGCTGAGAATGGGGTGTGGCGGCTGGGTTTTATGTGTTGTGTTGGGCAAGATGGTGTGAGGGTGGATACAAAGGATGTCTCCAGTCATAATGTCTCTCTTGGACCTTGGCTTTCGGTGTACAAGCAAAGGACCTAAAAGTTCTTCTCCAGAAGCTTTGCATTGGTCGCGAGTTGAGACCATAAACCACCGTCACCCTCTCGGATCTGGTGCTCTGATACCACTTGATCCAAAACTTCTAGTTGATAGAACTATGAATTCCTAGTTTATAGGAATAAAGGAATGAGAGGAATTTTAAGACAATTAGAGAAACAAAAGGAAGAAGCTAAGGAACTGCTTTGAGTTCTGCTTATCTATTACATTCAATAACTTACGTATTTATACAAGTTTTGGTTTCTAAAAATAACTGAACTAAAATAGCAAATGAAATTAAACCATAAAAGCTATGTGGTTTGAAGGCTCTTACGTACTTAAGCCATGAAAAGTGATGGCTTAAAATCAATTCTCTTTTAAGCCATAAATTATTCGTGGATTAAATAATATAATTGATTTATATCAATTATATTATATTAGATTTATTTTAAGATCCTCCTGGATCATGGCTCTCCCATTTAAGATGCTTGAGCTCCTAGTCAAGCTAAATTGTGAGATGAGGAAACTCTGTTATTGCCTTTTCTCGAATATACCACTTCGACTTGCTAGGAAGTTGACCTTTTCTGCCAATAAGGAAATAATCATACTTTCCATGTCGAGTCTCATGAACCTTTTGTTCTAAGATACAATCCTCCTACAAAGGATCTTCTCGTTCAATCTTTAAGTCATCAACTGATGGAAGACGTGTGTCTTCATCAAGATCATCATCAAGTAGAGATGGCTCAAAAAGCTTAAGATTCTCGGCATTGATGACCGAGTACATATGCATGTATGGTGGTAATTCAAGTTGAAAGGCATTATCACCAATTTGTTTGATGATCTTAAATGGTCCATAACGAATAGGCTTCAGTTTCTTGCCTTCACCGGTTAGCCGCTCCTTTCCAAGGTGTAACCATACTAGGTCACCTTCTTTGAAGTTACATGGCACACGATGCTTGTCATGGCGAGCTTTATATCGTTGCTGAGAACATTTCAATTGTGCCTCCACTTCAGTATGAATCTTTCTGACTCGTTCAAGAAATTTATGTGCTCGAATTTGTTGTTCTTTTTCTTTCCCACTTAATGGCTGGGCACTCATAGTGAATGCTAAATCAAAAGGACTCTGGGGTAAATAACCCAAACAAACCTCAAATGGAGATTTGAGTGTGGAGCCATGAATTGCTCGGTTAAAAGCAAACTGTAAGTAAGGGAGACTTTCATCCCAAGTCTTCGGATGCTTGGAATTGTAACCCCTCAACAAGTGTACCATAGTCTGGTTTACGACCTCCGTTTGCCCATCTTTCTGTGGATGAAATGCAGTGCTTCTTTTCAATCTGGTATCCATCATTCCCCATAACGACTTCCAAAAATGGCCTAAGAATCAACTTTCTCTGTCAGAAATAATCGATGTAGGTAAGCCAAAATGCTTCCAAACATGTTGGAAAAATAACGTAGCAGCTCCTTCTCCAGTAACGGTCTTCTTGCACGAAATGAGAATCACCATCTTACTGAAACGTTCTACCACCACAAACAAGTAGTCATTTCCAGACTTGGTTTTAGGCAATCCAACTAAGAAATCCATTGAGATACTCTCCCAAGGTCGGCTAGGTACTGGTAATGGAAGATACAGTCCTAACTTTCTATTGGAAGGCTTCGATGTGTTGCATAGAACACAACCTCGAATGTATCGTGAAACATCCAGATGCATCTTTGGCCAATACACATAGCGACGAAGATTGAATAAAGTCTTCTCAACTCCAAAATGTCCTGCTACTTTGGAAGTATGAGCCTCACGAATCCACTGCAATCTGTCACCATCTTCTGGAATACACAATTGTGTTCCCTTGTACATTAGTCCATCCTTCAATTGGAACTCACTAGTCTTTCCTTGTTGTAGCTTGGCATAGGCTGAGTGGAAATCAGTATCTGTGTCATACCCTTTGGCATATTCAGAAGGAACAATGGGTTGGATTTGCATAGTCACCAGCAATGCGGAAGTAACTGGTGTAGGTGGTCTAGATAACATATCTGCCAACTTGTTAGTTGCTCCTTTCTTGTACTTTATCACAATATTGAATTGTTGTAGGCAAGACATCCATTTCATATGGCGAGCTTGCTGCAACTTAGACTGTGTTGTTAAAAACTGAAGAGGTTTATGATCTGAGTGAACTACAACTTCTTTTCCCAACAAGTAAGCTCTCCAATGCTTCACTGCTTGATGCATTGCATACAGCTCCTTGTCATAAGTCGGATAATTCAATACCAGTCCACTAAACATCTCAGAATGGTATGCAACTGGTTTCCCATCCAGAAATACTACGGCTCCCATGGCATAGTTCGATGCATCTGCTTCTACTTCAAATGGTTTCTGTAGATTCGGTAATGCTAGTACTGGGGCCTCTGTAATCTTTCGTTTCAACAATTGGAAAGATTCTTCATGGTTTATCGACCATTCAAACTTTTGATTGGCCTTTGTAAGAGAATGTAATGGTGCTGCAATTTGTGAAAAGTGCCGAATAAACTTTCGCAAATATTGACATGCACCTATAAAGCTTCGAACTTCAGTTACTGAACGGGGCGTAGGCCATTGAGAAATCACTTGTACTTTCTCTAGGTCCATTTTCAGTTCTCCTGCACCAACAATGAATCCCAGGTATACAAGGTGTTGTTTCCCAAATTCACACTTCTTACCATTTAACTGTAACTGATTTGTTCGTAGAACCTCCAAAACTTGAGCAATATGATGAAGATGGTCCTCCCATGTGACACTAAATATGAGAATGTCATCTAAGTATACAATGACGAAGTCGTCAATGAAAGGGCGGAGTACCTCATTCATCAATCGCATGAAGGTAGCTGGAGCATTGCATAATCCGAATGGCATGACTAACCACTCAAATAGTCCCTGCTTTGTTTTGAATGCAGTCTTCCAAGTATCTTCTTCATGGATGCGGACTTGATGATAGTCAGATTTGAGATCAAGCTTAGTGAAGTAGCGTGCACCATGTAGTTGATCTAGCAGGTCATCAATCCTCGGCAATGGATACCGATTCTTGATGGTTATTTTGTTGAGTGCCCTATAATCAACACACATACGCCAGCCTCCGTCTTTCTTAGGCACAAGTAACATTGGTGAACCACATGGTGAGCAGCTAGGTTTAATGACTCCTTGTTCAAGAAGTCCCTGAATTTGCTTCTTGATCTCGTCAGATTCTATCAAAGAAGTATGATACAAACCCCAGTTTGGTAGAGGTGAATCTCCTACCAACTGGATCTCATGTTCCACAGCTCTCCGTGGTGGCAAACCCTGCACATCATGAAATAAGTCCTTGAACTTCTCCTGTAATTTCCCTATGTCTTAGCATTGTGTAGGAGATAAAGACAATGTAGACAATGTCACAGCTCCAGAACTCTGATCTTGCAGTCGAATCATCAACAAAACGAATCGCCCACATGAATTGACTAACCTTTTGGCTTGGTTAGGTGTCAGCAAATTATCTGTAAGCAAATTATTCGTAGCTTGAGGCTTGCAAGCGTTGATGTGGAACTCCTTCCCATCCTTCACAAGTCGATACTTGCGAAGCCTCCGATAGTGGATGGCATCTCGGTCCCATAAATATGGACTGCCTAATATGACTTGGCAAACATCCAAAGGAACCACCTCACATGCCACCTCATCGATATATCGATTGGTGATAGCAAATTTGAAGGTACATTGCTTCGTAATCTGTAAGTCAACGTCCTTCTGAATCCATCCTACCGGGTACGGCTTAGGATGTGGTGTGGTGTCTAAACCCACTTTTCTTACTAAAGCCTCTGAAATCAGGTTTTTCTGACTTCCAAGGTCAATGATAGCTTGTACAACACTTTGCTTCACCTGAATATTCACATGAAACAACTCGTCACGATTGTACGTGTCTTCAATATCTGCTGGTCTTGTCATAAGGGTAAGTGTAACATCAGGTTGCTTCAACTCTGGAAGCTCTTCTGCCTGTTGTGCAGTTAAGGTGGCTTTTCTGTCATTTCTCCCCTGGTTGTTTTTCTCGCCCTTTGGTCGCAACTCAGGATGGAGTATCCAGCACTTGTCTTTGGCATGTCTGCTGGCTTGAAAGTGATCACAGTAGACCTTCTGTGTCTGACCTTCCTTGCTTTGCTTCCCTTTTTTCCGCCAGTCAGTTTTGTTGACGGGTTTTGATCTGTCATCCTTCTTGTCAGTTTTTTTATTTTTCGCCTCAATAGCGATGGCCTTCACAGTATCTTCTTCAATAGTATCTACAGTGAACAATTTTAGTTCTTTCCGTACGTAGTCGGCAAGACCTCCGGTATACTTCATGAAAACGTCATAGTCGTTGACGTCAATGTCCAAAACCATAGCTTGGTTATGGAACTCTGTTGTATACTCTTGTACAGGCTGCCCAAATCTTTGTCTGAAGTGTTGCCACTTATACCATCTTTCATCTTCATAGCCAACTGGATAGAATTGTTTTCTTAAAAGCATCTTGAAGTTCTTCCAAGTCAATTATGAGACATCATACCGTCTCCGATAGGACTTCCACCATGTAAAGGCATGGCTTGAAAGTTTCAAACTTGCAAATTTAATCTTTTGCACCTGAGAATACTTATAAACTGTGAAATAAGTTTCTAATGTATCTATCCAGTTATCTAGCTTTTCAGGATCAACATCTCCCTTATATATAGGGATATCAACCTTAAAATCAATTTTTAAAGTATCAATAGAACTTTTGTTGGCACCTGATTCAGCTTCCTTTTTCTCTGGATTAGCTTGTGTGTTGTCTCCAGTCATAATGTCTCTCTTGGACCTTGGCTTTCGGTGTACAAGCAAAGGACCTAAAAGTTCTTCTCCAGAAGCTTTGCATTGGTCGCGAGTTGAGACCATAAACCACCGTCACCCTCTCGGATCTGGTGCTCTGATACCACTTGATCCAAAACTTCTAGTTGATAGAACTATGAATTCCTAGTTTATAGGAATAAAGGAATGAGAGGAATTTTAAGACAATTAGAGAAACAAAAGGAAGAAGCTAAGGAACTGCTTTGAGTTCTGCTTATCTATTACGTTCAATAACTTACGTATTTATACAAGTTTTGGTTTCTAAAAATAACTGAACTAAAATAGCAAATGAAATTAAAACATAAAAGCTATGTGGTTTGAAGGCTCTTACGTACTTAAGCCATGAAAAGGTGGTGGCTTAAAATCAATTCTCTTTTAAGCCACAAATTATTCGTGGATTAAATAATATAATTGATTTATATCAATTATATTATATTATATTTATTTTAAGATCCTCCTAGATCATAATTACACCTAAGCTAAAAAAGTGGACCTTATGTTTACCACATCATCACTTAACAGAAGACCAAATGGTCAAACTGACGGAACGTGTAAATTGGTCAATTTTAAAACGTTAGGGCGTAAATTGACAAAATTAAAACCCGTAGCCCATTTCAAGAATGACCTCAAAACTTCTGAGGGTAAAATGATGTTAGCCCTGAATTAAATCACTCTTTGTGGGAAAGCTCTAAACTACTTGTGTGATTCGTACGCTAGCAAAATTGCCCAACGAGTTTTAGAGATGTTGCCAAGGAGTGTTTTAATTTTTTATTAATATCGATATAGATTGATTCGGATTTTAATTTGAATTTCATTTTATTTTTTTTATAAAAAAAAAATTTGGTTTTCAGGTACTTCACCTAGTGCATGAGTTTTGGGAGACGTTCACAGTCTTGAGCTTATACCACTAGATCCAGAGATCGAACAAACGCTTCCACTACTACAAAAAGTGGAAAAGACGACCAGAAAAAGACGACGGCAGAACAAAAAACCGTCGTTGTTTTTAAAAAGACGACGGTAACAAAAAACCGTCGTGGATAAGTGACTTAAACAACTAAAAAATGGAGATACTGTTGAGAATTTTTTTATAACGACGCACACAAATAAAAAAGCATCGTCTTATTAAAAAGCTTTTCTTCTGAGTTAAAATCTGACCAAAAAACAACGACAGCAGGTATGACAAGCGTCGTCTCTTAAAAATCAAGTGTCCTTTTTTTGGTAAAGACATGGTTGTTTTGAAAGAACTGTCGTCTATTATATGTAAAGATGACGGTTTTTTTTATAAAAAGGGTCGTCTATTATTAAGTAAAGACGACGGTTTTTTTTTATAAAAAAGGGTCGTCTATTATGAAGGAAAGAAGACCCTTTTTATATGAAAAGGGTCGTCTATTATTAAGTAAAGACGACCCTTTTTATATGAAAAGGGTCGTGTATTATGAAGTAAAGATGAGGATTTTTTTTTTAAAAAAGGGACGTCTATTATGAAGTAAAGATGACGGTTTTTTTTAAAAAGGGTCATCTATTATGAAGTAAAGATGACGGTTTTTTTAAAAGGGTCGTCTATTATGAAGTATAGATGACGGTTTTTTTAGAAAATGGTCGTCTATTATATGTAAAGATGATGGTTTTTTTTTAAAAGGGTCGTCTATTATGAAGTAAAGATGACAGTTTTTTTTTTATAAAAGAGTTGTCTATTATGAAGTAAAGATGACGGTTTTGTTTTTTAAATGGTCGTCTATTATGAAGTAAAGATGATGGTTTGTTTTTAAAAAGGATCGTCTATTGTGAAGTAAAGATGACGGTTTTTTAAAAACAAGATTTAACGGTTATTTCTACTCTGATTTTGATGATTTTTTACAGCTACACTTCTTGACCCTATATGAATACAATGATTGCATTCGATCGTCAATTTAAAATATTTACACTAGCCCACAAAATCTTATGTTATATTTAATGAAAGTATAAATAAACTCTTAATTGTTAGTGAATATATTGTTTTGATGGCATACGT